ACACACCACACACCACACATCACACACATATACTACACACACTACACACACACACACACACACACATACACACACCACAGAAACATACACAACACAACACACAAACACACAGCACACCACACAAACACACACCCACACACCACACACACACTCACACACCACACAAATACATACATACCACACACACACACCACATAAGCACACACACTACACACAAACATGCACACACTACACACACCATACACATACATTACACAAACAGACACACTACACAAACACACACCCACAAAAACCACAAAACACACACTCACACACACCATACCCACACATACACACACTACAGAAACACACACCATACAAATACACACACACCACACACACGTATCACACCACACATACACACCACAGACATATACTGCATACCACACACACATACACACCACACACATCCCATGCATGCCACACACACGCCGCACACACCACATACACGAATACCAGCCCTCTACACATACACACACAGAGTAGGCCCCAGACAGACACACAGACATTCAAACCTGGAGCAAAGGTTTGTTCTAGGATGGGGAAGTTTCATCCAGACTGTTAGCCAGCTCCTGTGCTCTGGCACCACAGAGGGAATCCTAGTCTCTAGGGGAGGTTTCAGGGGTCCCCACTAATTGCTTCCAGTGCAACACAGGCATGCCAGCTTCAGATCTTATAAAGTCCCTTGAATTATAGAGTCAGGAGTTCAGGGGCCCCTGGTCTATTTATAGAGGCAGAGATGAGTGTTACAGATTCCAGTGAGTGACCAAGGTCCTTGTCCATGTCCTCTGTTCACAGATTCAGGCTGAAGAAAGGTCAAGAAAGCTGTGCCTTAACCAATGCTGCGTGGGTTCAAGATTACCTAAAGAAGGTGAAACCCTGCTAACTGGGGTAAAGAGAAGCTACCTTCCCATCCCAGCACCAGAGACTGCAGCCTCACTTAGCCCTCGACCCTCCAATGGCCGCCATCCTTCTGTCTACTGTTGCAGGCTCACAGATCTCAGTCATGTGATAAGCTATATTATGGTACTTTATTTAAAATATATTATCTTCAACTCCCGCTGCCTGTGTTTCTTGGACTCCATGAAGATTTAGGGATTCAGACTTGTTTGGTCCTGGGTTGGGAACACAGGGGCTAGAGAGTTGAGGTGGTGCTGGGGGAACCACTATATAGGATAAGTTTGATCCAGGTTGTGCTATGGCCTTTCCTCCAGCTTTGGCAGCTGAGAGAACCATAGTAGAATAACCCAGAGCAGGGTTTACATTGAGATGATAGCCCTTCTTCCTACCTGCCCTGCCCAAAGGACTTGGGAGGGGTAATGATAGCTTCTGTGTTAGCTGGAGGGGAGCTTTGTGTTCGTATGCCTGTAAGATGTTGCCAACCTTGTTTTATTTTTTATTTTTATTTTTTATTGGATATTTTATTTACATTTCAGATGTTATCCCTTTACCCCATCCCCCCCCTGCCCAGGAACCCCCTATCCTAGCCCCCCTCCTCCTGCTTCTATGAGGATGTGCCCCACCTACCCCCTACTCCCACCTCCCCACCCTTGAATTCCCCATCACTGGGCATCCAGCCTTCATGGGACCAAGGATCTTCTCCCCCACCTATGCCGGGACAAGGCCATCCTTCCTACATAAACAGCTGGCACCATGGGTCCCTCCCTATGTGCTCCCAGGCTGGTGGTTTAGATCCTGGGAGCTCTGGTTGGCCAACCTTGTCTTGTAAATGAAGTGATCAGGGTCGGAGAAGGACACAGAGAATATCAGGGCTAAAGAGTCAGGCCATGGGGAAGGCATGGAAAGGCTTAGAGGTGTGTAGCAGACCCAGGAAAGAGCCTTTGGGCATAAGTGGGAGGCTCTGAAGGGAAAGGAGTAGCAGATGGCAGAAGCCTGGTATGAAGCAAGGATCATAAGCCAGAAAAGCAGGCATTTGAGGCACTGTTCTGGGCACTCACAAGAGCCTGAGGCAGCCATATAGGCAGACTCTCTGAATGTCATTTCCCCTCCTCCATGCTCCACGACCCTCCTGACCTTAGCGCACCCTCTAATGCCTAAGAATTATCCCAGAAGAAAATGCAATTTCTGTAAAAAACACCAGGGGTTCTCCTATTGCGCCCATCCTCCTATTGGCCCACTTCCAAACCTCGAACTCATAATGTAGGCCAGTCCCTAGGACACAGTGTCCTTCTACCTTTCCTGTAGGAATGTAACTCAACCCTGCAAGCTGGATAGAAATCTAGCAGGTTACAAAGGCCAGGGCCTGGGGCTCACGTGCTCAAGAACTAACTTCTTTAGACCTTGTTTTAAAAAGGTCTAAAGGGGGGGTGGTGGCTGGAGAGATGGTTTAGTGGTTGAGAGTACCACATGCTCTTCCAGAGGACTCACGTTCAATTCCCAGCACTCGCATGGCAGCTCACAACTGTCAGTAATGCCAGTTCTCTAGTTCCAGAAGATCCAACACCATCATACAGAGATATGCAGGCAAAACACCAATGCACATGATGCGATCTGATGGCTGAACATTTGTTCAGCATGCACAAACCACAATATTGAAAGTCCAGTACCATAAAGACACAATAAAAATTGAAAATCAGTATTCACAATATAGTCCAAATCACTGAGAATTCAAATGCAGTATCACAGAAGGCATGATGTGTTTTGTGTCAAAAACAGTCAAGTTATTCCAGAGTAGAGATGAGAAGGCGGGGAGGAGAGCAAAACTGCTTCCTTTGATAGTCTTGCAGGCTCTAAGTATGAGCAGAAGAGCGAAGGTCCTGGAGGTGGGGCTCTGATCCAGGTGTACCTCAGTGTCTCGGACTTCTGCCTGAGATAGGCACAGAGCTCAGTGTCTAACGAGCATCGGATGCTGCTGACGGCAGAGAGCTGCAGTTAGAAGGTGTCCTCTTGAGGATATTCCTGGAACCAGTTCACTTACTCTACCTCTGCCTGGCTCACCAGCTGCAGACCACTGGTATATGGAAAACGGGGACCTCTAGAGGCAGCTGTTGCTCTTCTGGGTGACTCAGCAGAAATTTACCTGGTAGCTGATAAAATTAATGCCAGGATGTGAAGAGACTGCAACCACTAGAGGGCAGGGCACTGTGGGAAGTTGCCAGGCCTCTCCTGGACACTTTTGTACTACAAGAATGTGGAGGCTTTGATATTATCTCCCAAGCCTCAGGCTCCAGGTCATCTGGCATCTATATTCTGAGGCAAAGCTTACATAGGGGCAGTGTATTAGTCAGGGTTCTCTAGAGTCACAGAACTTACGGAATGTCTCTGTAAGGAGCAGGCCCTTAAACAGGACTAACTCCATTTTGTAATAGGAAACTTGTAAAGACATGTCTGGTACTTGTAGAGACTAGTCTGGTACTTGTAAAGGCAAGTCTGGAAATGAAGCTGTGCTGCGATAACCAGACACTAGTGGTTATCTGCCACAAACGTCAGGAGTAACGCCAAATTCAGCATAAAAGAGGAGCCCGATCAGAGTACTTCATCACACTTGTAGCCACGACTGGCCAATGTGATCCTCCGAACAAAGCCTCCTCAGCACCTGGTCATCAAAGAGTTAACGGAGAGACCAATGTCTCCAGCTTCCTACCCTATGAGGTCAAATTAGCAATTCAACTATCTGAAAGCCTCAGCCTGACCCCGGGACCTGTAGCCCAAAACCATCAAAAGGACTCAGGTGTATAATCCATGAATGAATGATATATTTATTGCTATGCTTATTTCTTTGGTAATTAGCAATTTATTATTTGTGTTCATTGTGTATATTGTTAGAGGCAATGCATAGGAAATGTGACAATATCTTGTTGTAGCAATAGCCTTAGCATTGATGATAATATATTGCTTGCTATGCATCATTAAAGAAGTAACTGAATCCCACAACCTCTGTCTTTGGTGTTCTCTCTCTTCCCTCTCGAGGAGCTGATGATCTCACAGACAAATCCAGAATAGGATCCCTGAGTGGAGCAGGACCTGTCGCTCCTCTCCCCTTGGGGGATTCTAACCCCTTATCAATAGCCTGCTTGTAACAGGTAAGAGTCCCTGCTAGAGACAGTCTCTATATACTAAGGGAATTTATTGTAATGACTTACAGTCTGCAGTCCAATTAACCAATCAATGGACAGCTGTGAGTGGGAAGTCCATGAATCTAGTTGCTCAGTTTCACAACTAGTAGTTTCAGCTGGTCTACTATCTAAGCTGGAATTCTGAAGAAGTAGGTTCCAACAGATATGCTGGCAGGTAAGTAAAGCAGGTGAAGAAGAGTGAGTCTTCCTTCTTCCATTGTCCTTCTGTAGGCCTCCAGTAGAAGGTGTGGCCCAGATTAAAGGTGTGTACCACCACACCTGGATTTGGAACTTGTTCTGTCCCAGGCTGGCCTTGAACTCACAGATCTGCTTGCCTCAGTTTCCTGTGATTAAAGGTTTGTACTACCTTGCCTGGGCCTAAGCTTTTCATGGGCACTATACCTCAAGATCTGGATCAAAAGCTTGTGTCATCTTGTGTCAAGATCCAGGTCTTTCAGCCTCAAGATCTTGATCACAGATGTGCTCTCCATTTCTGGATTGTAGTTCATTCCAGATGTAGTCAAGTTGACAACCAGGAATAGCCATCACAGGGAGTAAGGCTTTTCCACCCATGTGGTTTTCTACTCATGTAACTTTCTATCTGTGTGACAGTCTCCTGGGAAGAGGTGGTGTTGCTGAGCTGATAGTTCTTCAGCTCTCTCAGAGGTATCTTCCTGCTGACATAAAGTAGGAATGGTTCATGTTTAGGAACTGGCCATACAACCAAGATCACCAAGAAAAGGCTTTAGGGGCATGAAGAACTTCTTGACATGGCTGTAGCAGCAGGCATCCACAGGATAAGGCAAAGCAGTACACAATCGTCTGAAAGATCCCTGAGTCTGGAACTTCTGCCTTAGACCCCAGGTATGGCGAGGTCCATTGGCATGTGACTTGATACCACAGACTTTTCTCTTGCTCTGTCATGGAGAGACATCCTTGGCACCTGGCAGAGACCAGTGCACGGACAGGGCCTGGTATGGCCCTAGATCTGCAGAGCATCACAGAAGTGGCTCTAGGTTTGCAGCTGGCAGCTTAGGTAACAGTCTTGCTGTGGGTCTGCATCTAGCCAAGAAAGTTTCTTCTGTCTCCAACCCAACTTCAACTTTCTAATTGTGAGATGAGATGTTCAAGACTCTGGAGAGTCTTGTTATTCTAAGAGGCTTGGAAGTGGGGCCATTGGCTTAGGAATTCCTGGCAAAAGAGAGGGACAAAAGGCAAGAGAGGTCATGGAGGAGAAAGATGGGCTTGCTTCCTCAGCCTGAACCATTCCTGGGAACCAATGGTGGCTACAGTGATCAGCCAGCACAAAAGAGCTATAGAGGCCCCAAACCATTCTGTCTAGGTTAATCTTATTTTCCCTTCTCATGCTGTCCTGCTTATCTATGAGAAGTGCACACAGAGAATACTCTGAAGATTTTCTCTTAGGTTTGGTCATGACCAAATTGTAAGGTAGAGGTCCCCAAGTTCAAGACCAGGAAATGCAAGAGGGAAGCCGTGGGTTGTGTAGCATAGGCCACTGATGCCTCATTCTCTTGGCATGAATGCCCAGAGGGTATAGAGAACAGGGCAGTGTCTCATGAGCTCACTGTAGGTAGCAAGCAAGTTAAAGACTGATTTGTGCCTGCTTTCTCCAATCCGAGAAAGAAAACCATAAAAGAAGGCTTTACCCTTGTTATGTATTTGGTTCTGAGGAGGCACATGTCTTCATCATCATTCCTATTTGATGGATGAGGAAATGGAGGTGTAGGGAGATTGAATAGTGCACCCAAAGCCCCAAGGGAAGGAGACAGTGAAGGCAGAAGGCTAAGCCTGTCCTCATTGATGTAATCTTTTCTATTGGAGGCATTGGAGGCTTTTGCCAAGTGGACTTCTGTGTGATAGTTCAGTGCTTAAACTGATTGGTCAGGTTCTGATGGCAGGGGCTTTCCACACCACTCATTACATGCCACGCTGTGATCTATGCGTTTCTGCCACTCCAGTCCA